GCACTTCTTTTTAGCATTTTTGCATGGACTTTATAAGAGAGCCTCAGTGAGGTATTACCCCGATAATTGCAGCACTCCTTGCAGTCTCCCTTGAACTTTTAGGGGTACTATAATTCTCGTTCTCCAATCCGCTGGTGTTTTTCACTTAACCGCGGCAGTGTGACGGGCACATGTAAACCAGTGTATGCCTTATTCGTCTATAGTATTGAGCATTTCAGGGTGAATTTAATCAGTTTCTGCAGCCTTTCCACTTTTTAAACTTTTCACAGCTTGTGCGATTTTATCAGCAGAGATAACGATATCCGTTTCCTGCTGCGATACAGTCGGCTCTTCCTGCGGTTGGTCAGGTTTGAGTTCCTCAAAATACTTTTCCCATCGCAAAGAATGTTCTTTTCCGCAGTGAGAGCGTGCCCAGACCTAAACTTCATGACTCCTAGACTGCCCTGTTTTTCCTCAGAGCCGGCACATGGTCTACCAAAATATCTTGTTTTGCCGTCTGAAAATTGAATTCCAACACTCACGAAACTTCTCGTATGAGCAGATTTCATCTTTCACCATTGTTTTAGCTGCCGCTTTGCGCGCTTCTACGTGTCGTGTTGAAGGCTCTTTGCTTCCAAGCCATTTCTTGAGTGCAGCCTTCTTCTGTGTAACTGCCAGTTGTACCTCCTGTGTCAACCACGATATTGTTTTCTCACCTCGAAGCTTGGCCGACCAAACCCTTTGAATCCGCATCATTCGACAGATTTTCATTCTTCACCGAATCAACTAAGCAATGTAGATGATCTCAGTTGATATGACATGCTGATTTTATCCAGTTTCAGAGAGCATTTAATACATCATTAGCACATCCTCCAGTCATTCATGCATTGTAAGAATTTCCTGAATCTCCTGAACAGATTTCCTTTTTGAATGAGGGGTATGATGGAATGACACCTGCTATTGAAATTAGATGGAGGCTCTCTGGATGAATCCCTATTAACCGTTAAACGTAAATTATTTTAATTGAATAGTTCGGTGACAGTACTTTTCAGAATTGATTTTGGACACAAGGCTTTGAGTGTAAATACCTGTCTAAATATTGAGGCTTTGGGTAAGCCACAAAATTAAACGGTTTTTTGGTTGTAACCCTGTTTTTCTTATCTACCGTGTCTAAGAAGTGATTTGACCTTTATCTTCTTTTCCATGGTTTAGTGGATCCTTTTGGAGACTTATCAAAGGTTGTCAAGGAAAATATTAACTTTAAATACCGCGAAGCTTTCATCAACGATCCAAAGACTGTAACAAAGGTAGACGTTTTTGCAGCATGAATATTTCAAGATGATCCATATATTCATCTGTCATGTCAATACTGATCTGTAGTCTAATCCCAAATTTATAATGGGAAATATAGCTTTAAAAGGAAAAACGCGTGCTTTCGAGAGCCACTTCAAGTATTAAAAGCATATTTGCCACTTTATAATCGCTTGGTCGTTTGCAGTAAACCAAATTTGAACAATAAGTATTTAGAAGAACGGGATGATAGCAAAAGATTCAGGTTTTTTGATAACGCAAGATTCTGTTTCTTCTCTCTGCATTTTTGTTGCGTTTAGGATGCAGTATGAATTCGTCTCGAAAGGTGTAGTCTTCAAGAAAGGACCTATGAAAATCACCGTGGCGAAAATTCACCGAGTTACTGAACCCGGAAATCCGGTCAAGTTGGAGAAAGTAACCGAATCTCATTTGGTAGAAATAAGCGTTTTGATTCCTTCCGGTCAAGACCTGATTTCATCAAGTGTCAAAGAATTTGCAGATCAACTCAAGCCGTAAGT